AATCTATACTTCTCAATGTCTTCACCTTTTTCACTTAGTCCCCCAACTGCCCTCTCCTCTGGCAACCATCAGTCTGTTCTCTGTATCTATGAGTCTGTTCTTGTTTAGAAATTGTTATATCTGGTTATAAGTTTTTAACCAATTTAAGTCCTTTCTGAAAATAAAGAGGTACATGTGCTTTTTTATTTTTTTCAAAGCAAGTATCTTTTTCAAGATAAAGTAGAGAGAAAGTATGTTTACAATGATGAAAATAAATTGTAGTGATTATTTGGTAACATGTAATTTGTAACATAAACAGGTTCTGGAGTCCTATAAACTAGAGTTCAATTTCTTGAGTCCTCACTTGTAAAATAGTGAGGTTATTATTACTGATCTCAGAGGGTTATTTTAAGATTAAACATAGTAATATATCTAAAATGCTCAGCATCTTGCCTTTTACGTGGAAGGCTCCTTATAAACTTTTCCACTAGTTTTTGTGCTGTAGGAGATGAGTCAGGTAATCCAGTGAACAGTTATCTAGACTGAGAAAAACAGCCTTGCTTCATTCTAAGTTCCATAACTGTTATGTAACTTTCATTTTCCCCCCTCAATTTTTAAGTCATCAAGATGAGATAAACATTATTTTTATTATTTTTTTTTTATTGAGTTCAAGAAGGAAGAGAAATAGAGAAATAGAAACATCCATGATGAGAAAAAATCATGGATCGACTGCCTTTTGCAAGTCCCCCACTGGGGATCAAGCCCACAACCCGGGCATGTGCCCTTGACCAGAATTGAACGTAGGACCTTTCAGTTCCCAAGCCAACGCTCTGAGCCAAACCAGCTTGGGCTATTTTTTTTTTTTTTCAGGTTGAGTTAATTCTTAAAACTTCTTTGAAAAGGCAACATCTACATTAATTTTTATCAAGCATAAATATTTTACTTTATTGTTTTGAAGACAAACAAGGTAGCATTGAAATAGGTACCTATGAATGTCAAAAGAAAACAGTGGCTCTGGGATGATTATTGGGTGCTTGTGTAATGGTAGAATATGTTAGGTTGATCAGAAAATCCATAGGGGATGCTTTTGATCATGGTGTTAGGTGAAGCTTCCTTGAACAGTCAAGATTTCTTTTGGGCTACATGATGCTACAATGACTAAATTCTTATTTATAAACACAATTACAAATAACTATATTTTCAGTTCCAACTTTAAATTTTAAAACATATTTTAAGGTCCTGAACAAAAGCAACATTGTTAAGTATGTCTGAAAGGTAAAAGGTAGATGGTCTATGTAATTTCAGGTAGGGATCATATAGACAGACATCTCCTTCCAGTGGGAAAATTGTTAAATTGACAGTCTTTTTGTTGTTGTTTTTTGTTAATCCTCACCCAAGAATATTTTTCCTTTTATTTTAGAGAGAGCGGAAGGGAGGAGGGGAGAGACAGAGACAGAGTAACATTGATTTGAGAGAAACACATCAATTGGTTGCAATCACATCGATTGGTTGCAATCAAAGTATGTGCCCTTGACCAGAATCAAACCAGGGTCCCTTTAGTAGATAGCTGACACTCTATCCACTGAGCCAAACCAGTTTCAGTGACTTCATTGTTCTTATTAAAAACCTCTGGTAGACCATTTATTGAATTCTGGTTATACAACTGAATCTCCCACTAGACTGCTGGTAGAAATGGATTTCCTGAGGTAGAAACTGATTCCTGTTCATCTTTTGATCTTCCATTATGTATGGCTTCAGGCCATTACATTTATAATGAAACATGTCTGAAATTAAAACTGCATCTTTTAAGTTTATTTTTATTTATTTATTTATTTATATCCTCTTTTGAGGATATATTTACAGATTTTGGAGAGAGAGTGAGGAAAGAAGAGAGAGAGAAGCATCAATCAGTTGCCTCCTGTACGTGCCCTGACTGGGAATGGAACCCGCAATCTTTTGTTGTATGGGCCAATGCTCCAACTAACTGAGCCATCTGTCCAGGCTTAAGTTTATTTTTAGTGGCTCCTGCAATTCTTCCTAATGCTGAGAAAGTAGATTAAAGTAACTCTGCTATTTTTTCCCCCCAGTCACTTTTTATAGACTTTGTTAATGTTACAAGAGTTCTTGCACTGCCAAACCATGCCTGAGAATTCAAAGAAAGAAATGGCACAATGGACATCCTCTCCAACCCATCATACAGCATATTAAAACTTGATTCATGTGCATTTTGACAATTTCACAATCTTAAAAAGTTGTAATAAGAGGTGGTTTTTAAATCTCCTGCAGGTCTTCAGTTTTCTAGTACAGTAAGCCATTAATAAGTTCCACATACCCATCTCATTTCATTCCTCAGTAATGTAACCCTCAACAAAATTCTGCTGGGGAAAAAAAAAAAGCATACTTTTCAGGGAAAATATGTGGCTCAAGGTCCAAGGTCCAAGAGATTTGTTAAGATTTTTGGTTCCCAAATGAAGTCTTCAGTTTAACCAAGAATCCCTTATTTCTCGCTTCATCATCCAACCTCTCCTTGGTTTGCTCAGTAACTCACCCAAACACATCTGAAGGCAGGCACCCCAGCCCACCACCTCAGAGAACACCAACATTATTGCCCAGGAATGGTTGGCAGTCCTGTCAGGAGATCTGGAGCCCCCCATCTCTGCTATTTTATTTTATTTTTTAATATTTTTATTGATTTTTACAGAGAGGAAGGGAGAGAGATAGAGAGCTAGAAATGTCGATGAGAGAGAAACATCGACTAGCTGCCTCTTGCACACCCCACACGGGGGATGTGCCCGCAACCAATGTACATGCCCCTGACCGGAATCTAACCCGGGACCCTTCAATCCGCAGACCGATGCTCTACAACTGAGCCAAACCAATTTCGGCCATCTCTGCTATTTTAATGAAGGTAGATTTTACTCATATCTTATCACATTTGGGAAAGTGTACTCCTTTTGTATTCTCATGTAAAAATTGTGCTTATTTGGCAAGTCAGTCACAAAGAGAAGCAAATGCTAGGTCAAGGTGTTCTTTGACAGGAGTTTTTGAGCAGCTATTTTTAGCTCTGTCAGTATGATCTAATTCAAATGAAGGAATAGCTTTAGCTTGGGAAATAAACGTTATATATAAGAGGAAAAGGATTGACTGAAAAATTATAGAAAATGAAATACAAAATGTAAAGGAAAGCTAAATTTCTGTGACCAGTCTAACCCTTTTACTCTTCATGCTCATGAATGGTCATTAGAGAAGCAAGGTGGTATAGAAGATGAGGCAGTCAACTTGAATTAAGGGACTTGCACTCTAGTTTTGCTAATTAACTCACTAAACTTTTTTGAGTCTCTGTAGTTACATCTGGAATATGAATAGTTGGATTCACTGTTTGTTAACCAGAGATAAAAGCTAGAAATGTGCTATTTTTACTTCTTGTGGACTGGCGTGCATACATGATAGCAAAAGATGGGTGAGCCAGTGGGAGCTGCAAGTAGAAGATGGGAGACAACCAAGGTAGAAGTAGCCTGGGTCCAAAACACCACAGCGTGCCATGCCAGTCGTGAACTTAGTACCCATAGGCTTTCTTTCCATTTAAGAGAAATACATTATTATCTAGTTAAAATAACTGCCATTTTGTCTTTACCTTTTCTTTCAGCCAAACCCATTTGAATTAACAAAATGTGGAGCAGGAGAATTCTTTATAGATTCTAATTATGTTTTCTAATCTACATGTGGGCATGAGTTGGACTATTTACTATGGCTTTTTCTATAAGTGTTGTATATCTATAAGACAGAGAGTAAAATTTTATCTCACAGAGAGCACTTCTATTAGAGCCAAAAAATTGATGGAGTGGTATCACAATCATAGGAAACACAATTTTCTTTTTATGATTTTCTACAAATATGTAGAAAATATTTATAGAAATATTCTACAAATATTATTCTCTACAAATATGTGTAATTTCCTTGACATATACTATACACACATATAAATAATTTGGCCTCAAAAATTACCAGTTATTGCCAAAATCGGTTTGGCTCAGTGGATAGAGTGTCGGTCTGCAGACTGAAAAGTCCCAGGTTTGATTCCGGTCAAGGGCATGTACCTTGGTTGTGGGAACATCCCTGGCAAGGGGTGTGCAGGAGGCAACTGGTCGATGTTTCTCTCTCATTGATGTTTCTAGCTCTCTATCCCTCTCCCTTCCTCTCTGTAAAAAAATCAATAAAATATATATTTAAAAAAATGACCAGTTATCATCAATTTTGTATGTAGCTTGGTAGGCCCAAAAGTACAGTTTCAAGAACAACCATTTAAATTATATACTCTTTTGCTAACAATTGTTATTATTGGCAATGAGCAAACATAGCATTAAGTTTTAAAAATACTTCTATATATTTTTTGAAAGTTTGGGTTTGACAAGAACTCATTAGAACAAAACTTCTAATTATTTTCCTTTCCATGTATAGTTAAAAAAAAACACACCCTCTCTCCAATATGTGCTATAATGGAATTTGTTTTTTGTTAATTTGCACTTAGCCTATAAAAAATATCCTTTAAAGGTTTTTTAAGGCATTGGGCTTTTGCCACATATTATGTTTCTAATTAGGACCAGGGATGGGAGAATGGTGGAAAATAAAATTTGATAAACACACACATATATGGATATGTAGGTATGCATATATAAAGATACATTTGTATTCATTATATATGCATAAAATACATTATACATATAAGAATTAGATTCGGGTGCAAAAGATATGCTAAATTCTGGGATCAGAAGTTATGTGAATGACTTTTTCTTCATTTCCAAACCTTTCTAAATAAATTGTGGTAAAGTAAGTGCCATAGTAGGTGTTTCAGGCTATTTAAGAAGCAAACATTTTCTCTCTCTACATGCACACACACATATCACCCTAAAACAAACTCATTCTCACATACTAAACCAATTCAACCCATGCAAACCACACAAAAAAATAATTGGGAGGAGAAAGGAAATAGAGACTAACCATGAAGAGCTCTCTCTTTTTACCTTCATTCCCCTCGTCCGGGTTAGTGTAGATGGAAGCCGCAGTAAATAATGAAAAGATAACAAAGGCCAATAAGATGAATGCCACTTCCAGGTTGGTAAATGGAAGCTCTATGGACCACCACATACTTCTTCACCTTCAATAGAAAACAAACATTGGCTTAGCACATTCTATCCAGAGAGAGCTTGTTCAGCAATTACTTATTTTAGAATCAGACACATATAAAATTTACTAAAACGTGTTAAAATACTTCTGTGCACCTGGGACTGGTAAAAATGGATTGTACTCTCATTTCTTGAAATTTGGCATAACTATTGGTATAACTGAACTTTTACATTTACTGTGCAGATTGGAAGAGAGCATATTTATACGCATCTGTGAGTTTTTCGGATACAACTCTGGGAGTAAAGATAGGGTATATTTCATTTTAAAAAGGAAGAAGTAGTAATGTTTGTATCTGACATGTCTATACTCATGTTCAGAGTAAAATCTCTTTGGTTCATGTGTCTGAAGTTACCTAACATCTGCTAGTCAAGTGAGATATGTACAATTGAAGCCTTTTTTTTTTTTTTTTTTTTTTTTTAGTATAAAAACCATAGACCTCTGAGAAGCTTGGTAGGCTTCAAACCTAACCCAAATAAAAATAAATGCGTTCATAATTTAACCATGAAAACTTCCAATTCCAGACTTAGAAAGTGGAGTTCACTTTGGAAAGGAAATAGTAGTTCCATTGGAGGAAAATTATAGCATCATCCAGTTGGAATTCACCCATCTTTCTGTCCTTCAGTGTTTACCTTACAAACGCCAAATATTTAAGCCACTGCAGACATCTGTGGGGATGTTATAATTTTAAGAATTCCTAGAGAAAGAGATTTCACATCCTTTCATTGTAAATTATCCCACATTCTTCTTATTTTAGGGAAGTAATTTATTGGGGTCCTTTACATAAAGGTTCAGGTTCAAAAATAGTGAGCATAGAGTACAAATAATTACATATACCATATCTCCACTCCCCCATTTCTCCTATTATTAACATCTTTCATTAGTTACAATTAAAGAACCAATATTGATACATTATTATTATTATTAACTGAAATCTATAATTTACATTCAGGTTCACTCTGTGTTATACAGTTCTGTGGGTTTTGACAAATGCATGTCAACCACCATTACAGTATCCTACAGAATAGTTTCTCTTCTGCTTCATATATTCATTCCTCTCCTCTCTCTTTCTCAGCCCTGAAATCTCTTTACTGTCTCTAGTTTTGCCTTTTCCAATTGTCATATAGTTGGAATCACAGAGAATGTAGACTTTTCAGATTGTTTTCTTTCACTTAACAATAAGCCTTTAAAGCACTTCATTTCCTTTTATGGCTTGATAACTCACTTCTCTCTTTCTTTTTTTTTAACCACAGAATAACATTCCATCATATGTATGTACCACAGTTTGTTTATCCATTCACCCATTGAAAGACAGCTTGATTGCTACCAGCATTTGGTGATTATAAATAAAGCTGCTACATATATTTTAATGCAGGTTTTTGTGTGCACATGATTTAAAAAATATATTTTCTTATTTATTTCAGGGAGGAAGAGAAGGGAAGTAGAGATAGAAACATCAATGATGAGAGAGAACCATTGATTGGCTACCTCTTGCATACCCCATACTGAGGATTGAACCATGACCTACTGGTTCACAGGTCAATGCTCAAACACTGAGCCACACTGCCAGGTTGAATGCACATGATTTTTCAATCTAGGGTCATTTTTGATAGATTATACGGTAAGACTGTGTTTAGCTTTATCAAAAACTGCCAACCTGTCTTGCAAAGTGGTTGTACTATTTTGAATTTCTACCAGCAATGAATGAGCATTCCCATTGCTCTGCATCCTTGCATCAATTTGGTTTTGTCAATTTTTGGATTTTAGTCATTCTTATAGGTATGTAGTATGTTTGCATTTGCAATTCCTTAGTAATATATGATGCTGAATATCTTTTCATATACTTATTTGACACTACATATCTTCTTTGTCTTTTATGCAGATTTTTTTACCCATTTTAAAATTGTGTTGTTTTCTTATTGCTGAATTTTAAGAGTTCTTTGTATATTTTGTATTCAAGTATGATGCCATATAAATGTTTCCCAAACAGTTCTTAACAGTGTCTTTTGCAGAGTAATGTTAATTATAATAAAATCCAACTCTTTTTGGATCATGCTTAATTGTATAAAAACAAACAAATACCTCATTGCTAAACCCAGGATCATGTAGGTTTTCTTCTGTTATCTTATAAGTTTTAGAATTTTGCATTTTATATATCTACAATTCATTTTGAGTTAATATTTGTAAAAGGTATAAGTCTATTTAGTTTCTCTTCTTTCCCTTCTCCTCCTCCCTTTTCCCCTCTCCTCTTCCTCTTTTTGCTCCTCCTCCATCTTCAGATAGGATATCCAGTTGCTCAAGTACCATTTGTTGAAAAGATTATCCTTTCTCTATTGTAATCTCTTTGCTCCCTTGCTAAAGATTAATGACTATCTCTGTGTGTCTGTCTCTGGGCTCTCTATTCTGATATTTCTAGAAACTTATTTTGTGGAGACTGTTTTATGACAATTTAAGCACTGTCCTGTGGTTCTCAAATCTGCTTCTATATTAATTATTTTAAGATAGGAGACGAGCTATCTCAACAAACTGAAGACTGCTCTTACTCTTGTGTTATCAGTGTTCACCCTGGAAAGCCTCGGTGCATGTCCTCTGCCATGATGGGTAAAAGCAGCCCACTCCTCCCCCCCAGTTCAGTACTGAGCCAAATAGTGATAATAGTTTAGGAAGGAAAGAAGGCTTCAGGGGGAAATAGGGATCTTCAGTTAGACCCTAAAGAAACCCCAGATCTTGGTGGAGAAAAGAAGCAAAGTAAATTTAAAGAGAAAAGATTAATTGATTCAGCATATGCTTTTTGAGTGTGGCATTATGTTTAGTTGTTTGTGATGAAGTGAGGTGATGGGAGAGGGAAGAGGGAGCAGGACATAGGTGACATGTAAGGAATGAGCACTTGAAATGAATCAGGCACTATTTCAAGAGCTTCACAGCCTACATCTCCTTGATTCTTCCTAATCACTCTATATGGTAGATACTATTATTATCTCCGTTTCATAAATGAGGGCACTGAGAACTGAAATATAAAGTAACTTATCTTAAACTAGAAGATAGTATATGGCAGAGATAGAATATCACCCTGAGCATCCTGGTTCCAGAACTCTCTCTCTTAATATACTCTACTTGCATTCATCCAACCAAATAAGCAAGCAAACTGAAAATTCACCTTCATAGTGAGAATCCGGTTTGGCAAAGCATTTTGTGGATTAACTGGAAAGGAGTTTTTATGGTAGGTACTGTGGTAAGATAATATCTGCTAAGCAAACACAATTGACAGAATTCAATGCCAAGATGAGAACTTACACTTGATTCAAATGCTATTTGAAGGTGATTATAAGGTCTTTGATAGAACAGTGACATGTTGTAGCAGTATTCTGAGAATATTAATTGCATTTCTATGTGAAGGAGAGATTGAAGGAAAAGAATGATAATCGGAAAAAATGAGATTTTCAGCTTTGTATTAGGTTCCACAATTGTAATAGAGTGGGAAGGATGAAGCTAAGAGCCACCTTGAAGGAAGGGGAGGAGGATCTTGGGAGTTTGCTGATTATATGGGGTTCAGAGGTCAACCCAACACTAGTAAAAATGCAGTACAAGGAGGAAGAAGGGAGATGAAGGTCACTAAAAAAATCCAGAGAATCTTGTGTGAATTGGCAGTAGAGAACATTAATTCCTCAAACTTTTTCATGCTTAGTAGAGATACAGACTATACTCATACATTCGGCACTTCTCCAATATTTGCAATTTGATTGATCATGCTTTTGCTTTCCCAGAGAATATGAGGACTACTAAGTCTGTTAAAACAGCTCAGAGAACAACAACAAAAATAATTCTCCTTGCCAATATTATTTTCCTCATGAAAAAAATGTAACAAAACAAAATGAAAACAGAAAAGAAAAAGAAATGGTGCCATCTAGTGATGACTCAGTGCTATGGGTGGGAGAAAAAAATGATTAACTCAATCAAGCTTTTTAATGATATTTCATTATATGTATACTAGAGGCCCAATGCACAAAATTTATGCACAGGTGCGGTCCCTAGGCCTGGCCAGTGATTGAAGTGTGAGCATTTGATGTGGAAGGGCAGATCCCAGCTGACCTCTGGATCCTGGACAGTACCTGAGCTCCCAGGCTCCTGTATATTCCCCTTTGCCTGAGTTATGGCACTAGAGTCCCATGCAGAGATGTGGTGAGTGTGGCTGGACGCCGCAGGCTGGAATACAGCGTGGGCCTCTGGGCTGCCCAGCTGCACTGCACTAAAGATGGATGGGCAGCGCACTCTCTCCTGGCCGGCCACGTAGACCAGCTTCTGTGCAAACCCAAGGAGAGCCTGACTGGCCCCTGCAGTCCTGGCTGCTGTGGCCTGGCTCACTGAGAAGAGGCTGTGCAGGTGTGGGTAGGGTTTCTCATGGGTGCCCGGCACCTGAGTGCGGGGAGCTTCCCTGACATGCGAGCCTTGGAGTCTTGGGATAGAGTAGCAGAGGGAGTGAGAGTGAGCTTGGCAGACACCCTGCATTTTCACCACACCTCCGTCCCTGTCACTCTTGCACTCAGGTAGCCAGTGAGAGGTCTCAGCATGTTGCTGATGCCTGCCCTGTTCTGGGCCGCCCCTGGTAGTCAGCGTACATCATAGCAAGCGGTCAAACTCCCAGTTTCCGGGTCAAATGACCGCCTGAGGGACAATTTGCATATTAGGCTTTTTATTGGACTAGAGGCCTGGTGCACAGATTCATGCACTGGTGGGGTCCCTTGGCCTGGCCTGTGCCCTCATGAGAAGGGGTCAGAGAGCCGGTTTCAGCCTGATCCCCACCAACCAAGCTGAAGGAACCCCTCCTGTACATGAATCTGTGTACTGGGCCTCTAGTATGCATATAAAATCTGTGGTTAATCTCTTCCTGCCCTCTCCTTTCCCCCCTTCCCTCTGAGATTCATCAGTCTGTTCCATGTTTCCATGCCTGTGCATTGAGCATGTGC